CGAGGAGTGAAGAGAGGAGAAAGGGAGCAGGTCGAGTGGCGGTCACGACGAAGCGCGGACGGCTAGTGAGGCCCGAGATGAAGGGTGGCTCGGCGGCTGATCGAGGTGGGGTCCTAGGTCGCGAGTGGTCGTCGCTGTTTTGGGTGGAAGGAAGGCTGATCAAGGTGTGAGGGATTCTGGAGGAGAGGGAGATGAGAGCAGGAAGAGAGATGACGTGGGGAGGAGAGAGAAAAAAGAGTGTACGTGAGAGAGGGTATAGACGGCGTTGAAAAACGTGTAGAGGAGAGAAGGGTAGTTATATGGTATGGATTAGGGTTAGGGTTAAGAAATAATAGGGATTAATTAGTAATAATTAGGGAAATTCTTAAAAAAAATAAACAATAATAATAATAAAATTAATAATAATACAACAATATTATTTACAAGTTTTTACCGTAATTAATTAATTCATAATTATCAAATCAATAAATAAATATAAAATCGGGTTTTTAAATCGTAGAAAATTTTAGAAAATCGAAAAAATCAAATACTCTTTTAAAAATAATAATTTAATATTTTAAAATACTAAAAATTTATTTTAACTAGAATCAAAAATTCATGGTCCTTACACAATAAAAACTAGAATGCTTCAAAATATTTCTAATGAATATTCATTCTCTGTCTCGACTTTCATTCCTGATCAGATGAAAAAATAACAAATATGGGGGCAGAAAGTTTCTAAATCTAGATTTGAAAGATCTGAGAATTTAGATGAATCTAGAAGGAGTAAGAGAGCAAGAACTGTCAACAAATTTAGAAGTAACATTGTCACTTACAATATCGAGGAGGACCCTATTTCCCACCAATCTGCTATGGCCTCAAAAGAGGCTAAACAGTAGAAGAGTGCTATCAAAAGTGAGATGGATTCCATTATCTAAAGGGACATGGGAATTAGTTGATCTACCACCTATGTGCAAGACAATTGGATGTAAATAGATCTTTAAGAGAGAACTAAAGCTAGATGAAACTGTAGAAAAGTTTAAGGCCAGACTTGTTCTCAAGGGGTCCAAATAAGTTGAAGGAATTGATTCTTTGACACTTACTTTGTAGTTGTCCGAATGACTACGATCAGAATGCTTATTACATTGGCTTTCATATATGATTTCACTATCCACCAGATGGATATGAAAACTATTTTTCTTCAAGGTTTTTTTACAAAGAAATTTATATGGATCAGTCTGAGGAATTTATAACACATGGTATGAAAGGGAAGTATGTAAACGTTTAAAGTCTTTGTGCGGACTTAAACAAGCCCCTAAACAATGGCATGGAAGGTTTGATAAAACTATAACTGCTTTTGGTTTGAATATGGTTGAGTCTGGAAAGTTTGTTTATAGAAAAGTAAGAGGTGATTCATGTATTCTTCTATGCATTTATGTTAAGGATATTCTATTGTTTGGATCTTGCATTTGGATAATGAATAAGACTAAGTCATGCTTGAGTAGTAGGTTTTATATGAATGACATAGAAGTCATTTACGTGATTCTTGGCCTTAAACTAATTAGATCGGTTGATAGCATAACAATTTCTCAATCTCACTATATCGAGAAGATTATTGAGAAATTTGATTATAAGAATTCTTAACTTGTCAAAACTTCATATAATCCTTCAGTAACTCTCTACAAGAGCACAAGTGGGGTCTCTATGCCTTAGTTGAGATGTCTTTAGATTATTGAAAGCTTGATTAGCTTGTGAATTGCATGAGACTAAATATTTCATACTCGGTTTCTAAATTGAGTAGATACATTAGCTAGGACTCATTGGGAGACCTTGGATAGGATACTTCGGTATCTGAAGGGAACAACTTCCCTTGCGCTACATTATGGAAGATTCCCTCATGTTCTGGTGGGATACGGTGATGTTAACTAAATTTCTATGGGCTCTGATAGTAATGATTGTATAGGATATGTATTTACCTCAGGTTGTTGCGGCGTCGCCTGGAGCTCTGTCAAACAGACCATTTTGTCTTAGTCTACTTTTGAGGCCAAGCTATGTGCTTTGGATACTACTAGTTTAGAAGATGAATGTCTTAAGAGACTTATGTCGAAGTTACCCATGATCAGCTAGTCTATTCCTACAATTTCTGTGCATTGTGACAATATGAGTACAATTGAAAGGATTAAGAGTTTAAAGTACAACCGCAAGACTCAAGGTCATATCCAAGTATGAATAAAGAATATAAAAATTTTTTGGATGAAGGGGTGATAGCTATGTACTTCATCAAGTCCAAGGAGAACATAGCAGATCTCTTTACTAAAAGACGTGAGTTGTCACTCGTTCTTAAATCTAGATTGGGGATAGAACTGAAATCCTTACCTAATTCATCGACAATAGACACCCAACTGAGTAGGGCTTCTGCAAAATAGATTCCATGTAGTAACAACAAGTTGTAGGATGAATTGAGCACCTAATCATAGATTAATACATAGTATCTGAATCTATCACAAGTACTCGTGGGAGGTGTTGTTAACTGCTAGGATAGTAAGAGCATTTGATTCTGAATGAGATCCAGTACCATTTATATGGTTGGATTTCATAGATGAAAAAATATGCTTAATTAGTAGTACGTGAGTATTAGCCCCATATTAGCTAATTAAATGTGTTTTTTTGTTTACATTAACATACATCTTATATATAGTATAACAAAGATGTTAGAATCGCATTTGTGTTGGCATATGCTAGCAAGCGGGCTAGAGTGTGCAGGCTCTAAATGTTGCACTAACTAGTCATTACTACCATAGAAGGTCTTGTTAAGATCCTCCTTTGTCCATTTGAAGCACACTGAAAATCAAACTATCTACTTGATTTTCTTCTGCAAACCTCTAATCTCTATTATTTAGCTACTGGTTTTGAAGACTTTGGTGAAGTGAAGTAGAGTCAAGATGTTCAACGGAAGAGAGCACTTCATTGGACTGCAATAGTCTCACCCTCGAAAGAATTGTGCAGACACAATGCTACTGTAGGTGAGGCATAATTTATTCAATACTAGTCCTTTGTTCAGAGCCACAATTCAGCATTTTTGTAAAGTATTTCTCCTTTATGTTTAATGCAATAGTATTCCTATTTATTTTCTGCTTTATGCCTTTCTTCCTATGTGGTTTGTTCTTGTCAGGACCCTCATTTAGTCCTAAATCGGGAAATGGGTGAGAAATTAAGTGGCTTAAATAGGTAAGCCCAAGACTCAAGTGTAACATCGGCTAATCGATTTTGACAGTGGATTGAGAAAAATAACATGTTACACTCGATGGGTCACATGGCGTGATAAATGGTATCATAGCAGTTGCTAGCTAAAAGTGTGGAACTAAGTGCTAGGTAGGGATAAGAGCTACACTACGTGAGCACGGTGGAAGCCATCTTTAGAGCCCGTAGGAGCCATCTCTAGATTCCACATCGCCTATTGATACTGGGATATGACAACTGTCATGTCATGATGAGGACGTTGCTTATGTAAAGTGGTGTGATTGTGAGACCCAATTTAGTCCCACATCAGGAAATGAATCAGAAGTTAAGTAGCTTAAATAGGTAAGTCCAAGACTCAATGTAACATTGACTAGTCGATTTTAGTAGTTGATTGAGTCAAACAATTTGTTACACTCAGTGGGTCCCACAACTTACACGCGGCAACTGGTCCGGCATGACAGTCCCTCTTTGGTATATCCTTAACTATGAATCTGTTATTACCTGCACCTTTTCCTACACAATCAATGTAACTATAGATCAAAGATGTGAGAGGATATCTAATCATGTTAAAACTTGAAACTTTTAATAAAGTGTAAAAAATGTAGTTGGCTTGCTTTAAGGGGTTGTTTCACTTGAAATTTTGGGTTTTCAAAATCTGACAAAAATAGAGTTCATTAAAACCTTAAAAAAAATCTTTTATTTTTATTTGATTGAAGGAAAAGTTGAATGTGGGATCCATGTATTTCATGAAAAAATTTCACATGAGAGGAGATGAATTTTATTCTGAAATATAATGACAATACAACAAATTAGTTACATCTGCTTTTTCTAGCAAATTTTCATCAAAATAAAATAAATTTTCAAATGAGAATTTTGGTTCTAACAGATTTCTTGATTGACATCCACTTTTCAGATATTCCTAAAAATGAACATATTCTAAATTATTTTATTTCGATTATGAATTTTTACAACGTTTTTTAGAAAAATAATACTTTTAAGTGGTTTTTTTAGATATTGGCCCCTTAAATCTTTTAGAACGTGCTATTAGCTCTGTAGATCAATAAAATTGCTAATAGGTCCCTCTCATCCCCCTCATTAAAGAATGCTAGGCATGAAGTGAATATGTCCTCAAATCTAAGTTTTTATACTGAAGTTCCAGCTATGCAGCTTACTTACATTTTACCATCCTTGTTTTTTTTAAACTAGTTTCAACTCAAAACCTGTAAATTATTAATCCAAACCTACATCAAGAATCTTCTCAAGTGATAAAATTTCCACTAACCCATTTCTGATAAAATTTCCACTAACCCATTTCTCATTTCCCCAACAATCACTAGGGTATTTGGTAACTAACTGTTGTTAAGGGCTAACTGGACCACAGTTTATAAATTTAATTGAAAAACTAAAAGTTGCATAACCCTTATATGATTTGAGGGACCTATCAGTAATTTTAATGATTTGAGGGAGTAATATAAATTTATGGAAAATCTGAGGGACCAATATATTAGCTGAAAATCCCTATTATTAAACTTGTAGTCTAACATCCAGGACAGATGGCAGATGTACAGTGGATACATAACGAGTTTCCTAACACTTGGCATGGCATGAAAACACAGGAGACTCACTTTGGCTGCGTGCATTGTAGCACAGCCTATAGAAAACTTGCTGCTTTGCATTATTCTATAGCATGCCATGGCCTCTATAAATGAAATCAACAATGAAGGACTAAAGGGCATACCTCTGATAGAATCAACAACTTATAGAGAAAGAAAGAGAGAGACATGGAGATGTGTGCAGCTGATGGAAGAGAGAGAACTAGAACAGCTTCTTTACTGAGAGAACCAGTACATGATAAGGACACAAAGGAAAGCCTTGGTGCTCAGAACGACAAGGTCTGAGATAAAATTTGCAGGCAGCTGTTTTGATAAAAAGCTCTACTAGATCTATCTGATGTATATTTGGTTAAACTAGCTTGTAATTTGTCAACATTTCAGGAGCCAGGATGGAGGAAATTATTAGCCTATGTTGGACCAGGCTTTCTTGTGTCACTAGCCTATCTTGATCCTGGAAACTGTAACTCTCCTCTTTTTCTTTAATTTTGTTACATTTATAGAGAAATTTTTTTAAACTAATTAATTTAGTTTTGGTGGAATTATGAAACAGTGGAAACTGATTTACAAGCAGGATCCAGCCACAAATATGAGGTAAACAAATTGGCATAAAAAATGGAATGTGACTATGTTAGACCCCACATAATAGAAGCTAAATTCTAATTATTACAATATTTTTGAAATTTTACAATCACAGCTATTGTGGGTCATACTGGTTGGGCTAGTTTTCGCCCTGATAATTCAGTCCCTGGCAGCAAATCTTGGTGTAACTACAGGTATCTAGTTTTAACTCCGAAATCTGGTTTTAGTACATTTTGTATTCTTAATTTTGATCATAAATCCAATTTTATTAATTCAGGGAAGCATCTTGCTGAAATTTGCAAGATTGAATACCCAAAATATGTAAAGTTCTGTTTATGGCTACTGGCTGAGCTTGCAGTCATCGCTGCAGATATCCCTGAAGGTTAGACTTCCTGCCTTAAAATTTATCTATATAGATATAAAGTTTTTTTAAATTTAAAATATCTTATGTATAACTCATGTTTTTTTTCTTAATTTTCAGTGATCGGTACAGCTTTTGCTCTCAACATATTGTTTCACATTCCGGTATGGACTGGAGTACTTATCACTGGATTGAGCACACTTCTACTATTGGGATTGCAAAGATATGGGGTAATTTCATTCAAATGCATATTCTCTGCAAACTAACTATAATGTGACTACTATCTAATGTTTGTTGGATTGTCACTCGCCATTTTGAATCTTTTTTATCAGAGAATGCTAGCTAGGAAATTAATAGCTGTGCAATTTTACCTAGATTAATACTCTACATGTTAAATCTGTACCACACGGGTGATTTTGCAGGTTTTGAACATAAAGGAAACTATGCTGTATATATACATATACAATGTAGTATGTATAGCTTCCATATAGATATATAGCTTCACGTTGAGTTTTGCACATATTAGGCTAATTTAAATGCGACTTCTTTTCTGTATAGATACTAGCCTCCAGATTTGAGTTGTAGACATACTATGCTAGTAGTACGTTAGCTTGTAATCTACATAATCGTTTTCTATTTCTCTTCATATCCTTTTCAACTATTACATTTTCCTTTAATCTCAGATGCAACTAAGAATTTATCATGTTGCTCCTAGGTTCCAAATTTTTTTCCAAAATAAAGATTCAGAAATTTTCTAAATGGAGATAGAGTGCTTAAGTTTCTTTCTTATACACTTACTTCCATGTTTTCTTATTAATAGCTTTTTAGTTTAACTCTAGTCAGCACTAAGATATAAACTAGGACGGCACGTCTTCCTTTCCAATCATTGAGACTCAAATGCCCAGATAAAATCGCCAATTTGGTCATTTAGACTTCAGCCGGCAGAATATAAACACTCTCTCCAGGAAATTTTTATTATATATCTGTATGTGTACATGTTTGTTAAACCAAAATATGTATCACATCAGAAGTATGTGCAGCGTAAACGTCCATTCTACAAAATATTTAAGAACCAAGAATTTGATAGTGACCTATTATTTGACTTGTTCAAGAAAGCCTGAAGTAAAAAATTATTGAAGCACTTAGTTGTTAACATGATTTCCTCAATTAATTTTCATCATGAATGAAAATTATGAACACAAAATGCAATGTTTTATATCACTGGCTATCATGAAACAAAGTTATCAGTAAATACAGTGAATATTGATTGAATATAATGTGATTTTGTTAATAATTATCTTACCCTTTCAGGTTCGAAAACTAGAGCTTTTGGTGTCTCTTTTAGTGTTTGTAATGGCTGCCTGCTACTTTGGAGAAATGAGCTATGTAAAACCACCTGCTACTGAGGTTATTAAAGGATTGTTTGTGCCCAAGCTCAAAGGGAATGGTGCTACTGGAGATGCCATTGCTCTTGTTGGAGCTCTTGTTATGCCGTAATTTACTGATTTCCCACTGACGTTGACTAGTTAAAAATATTAATCATTCTTCAGTTTCCTTATTTTTCTTAAAAATTCCCTTACTTTTTTTCTTATATAATGATTTTTTTTAATGTTTTCGGTGCAGGCATAATCTTTTTCTGCACTCGGCACTGGTCCTTTCAAGGAAGACTCCACAGTCGACAAGAGGAATCAATGTATGTAATACGACACATTTCTGGGTTGTAGCAATTAGATGGGTTGTAGCAATTAAATAAGCAAAAGTTATGGAGGATGGGTTGTAGCAATTAGATAAGCAAAAGTTATGGAGGAAATTTGTGAATGAAACTTGTTAGTACATTGCATTGTCATTTATATTTATCAGGCTAAAACATCCAAAACAAAGTTCTCATTTCATGTTATGCGTTTATCAGTGTGCTTGTAGATATTTCCTTTTGGAGAGTGGTTTCGCATTATTTGTTGCTTTGCTGATCAACATTGCTGTGATATCTGTTTCTGGCACTGTTTGCCATTCCTCAAATTTGACACCGGAGAACATAGATCAATGCAGCGATCTGACCCTAAATTCAGCATCTTTCTTGCTAAAGGTGAAAAAAGAAATTCTACCCTGTATAATATAATAAGTCATCCTATCAAACCACTTAAGTCAAAGTTATATTAGACCACACATTCTTACATTTATCCATTCTCCTTTTGTCTTCATAGAATGTTTTAGGAAAGTCAAGTTCAACGATATATGCTATTGCGTTGCTAGCTTCAGGCCAAAGCTCCACCATAACCGGTACATATGCTGGTCAATTCATCATGCAGGTAATTTATAAATCTAGTGTACGTTTTTCCTTTTACAATTTGAGGCGAAAGAATAATTAGTATGCCATTAGTAAACCATTTTATCTATAATTTGCAGGGTTTCCTTGACATCAAAATGAGAAAGTGGCTGAGGAACCTTATGACTCGAAGCATTGCAATTGTCCCCAGCCTTATCGTCTCCATTATTGGTGGCTCTGCAGGTGCTGGACGTCTTATTATCATCGCATCGGTATGAAACATTTATAATACATTAATCTCAAATTCCTCTTTTTAAGTATGATTCCATAAATCAACTGACAGTAGTTCTTTTCTAAATTCTGTTTTAATATAATTTGTGCAGATGGTTCTCTCTTTTGAGCTACCGTTTGCTCTTATCCCCCTTCTAAAATTCAGCAGCAGCAAAATAAAGATGGGGCCACACAAGAACTCAATTTACGTAAGTTTTTATCGTTATCTCGCTAGTCCCATAACTAATAGTTCAAGTTATCGAATAAAATCATAAATACTTCAATGCAGATTATCACCATATCATGGATTCTCGGAGCGCTTATAATAGGAATAAATATCTATTACCTAAGTACAGGCTTCATTGATTGGATAATCCACAACAGCCTGCCAAAGGTTGCAAACGTGTTTATTGGCATCATAGTGTTCCCTCTAATGGCAATATATATCCTCTCTGTGCTCTATCTCACCTTTAGAAAGGACACTGCTGTCACATTTACCGATGCATCTGAGATTGAGAAGGGGATGCACAATCGATCTACTGAGGTGGTTCCTTATAGAGAAGATCTTGCAGATATTCCATTCCCTGAATAAATTTTTACAATGTGGGAGAAGTTTGGTGAGAAAATTCATCTCATCATGTGTAACATAATGTTGAAGTAATTAGCGTGTTGTAGTTTGCGATGTTTTGTTGGCAATTGATATAATAAGTGAGGCTCGTTGAAACCTTGCAGCATGGTGTCTGGGGGTTATTTTTGCCCGCCTTGATACTTTTGTTTCATATTTTAAAGACGTGTCCTGACTCCTGTGGTTATAGCTCAATGGCAGTGCTGTACTGTGATATAAACAAAGTTTAAAAATTCCCCCAAAAAAACGAAGGAGAGGCGTCATAATATACGTTCTTCAATCAAACTTGTATTTATAACTACGAGTAGAGAAAGATGTCCCTATCAATGGTGCCGGTTGAGGCTTTATAGCATGGGTCTTCAATGGAGCCGTCATTGCGGCTGGTTATG